CTTCACAGGGAGGAAATCTTGTCCTAGATTTTTCTTTAGATCTCCAATTGTCCCAGGTGGACCTCTCTTTTGCCCCTCCTCTTATTTGTTTTCACTGCTCTATGTTTGTCCAGCGGTGTTATTTTATATCTTTTGTGCAGGAATATCTTGAGAGCTTGAAATTTTCTGATCTACTCTGCCATCTTCCCAGAATCCTCTCCTAAATAATTCTTTACAGTTACTGGGTCATGTGGCATAACGGATAAAGGGCTGTCCTTGGAGATGGGAGACCTAGGTTCAAGTCTGGCTTTTGATATGTTGACTATTTGACCCTGAGTAAATTATTTAAACTTTTCAGTGGCACAAAATATCCAAGACTGTAAGTTGGAGAGTTAGTTGTCCATCTGCATTGATAGGGGAAAATTTCTTCACTAGGAGCTCCTCACACCAATGAAATCACAGGAAAGGACAAAAAAAATCTCTTAATAATAAGTAGGAACACAAGTGCATACATGCCTATATAAACATATAGATACACACATACATAGTATGTAAGTCTATTTGCATATAAATTAGAGAAAGGGATGCAATGTTACATCCTTTAAAATATATTAGTGTTAAAATATCTAAAGGAACCCTGTTGTAAATTACAAATGACAAATCTCTAATTTTTTTGTTTTGTATATTTTTGTATTTTGCTATAAGAAAACAGAGTTCACCCAGCAGCAAGAGATAGGAGAAATTCCATTTAAAATTACTATAGACATGATAAAATATTTGGGAATGTACCTGCCAAAACAAAACCAGGAACTATAAAAACACAAATACAAAGCACTTTTCACACCAATAAAATTAGATCTAAATAATTGGGAAAATATCAGTTGCTCATGGGTAGGCTGAGCTAATATAGTAAAAAATGACAATTCCACCTAAATTAATTTACTTTATTCAGCACCATACTAATTCAACTACCAAAAATTATTTTATAGAGCTAGGAAAAAAAGGCAAAAACAAAACACAAAATTCATCTGGAAGAACAAAAAGTTCAGAATATCAAAGAAACTAATAAAAAGAAATTCAAGAGAAGATGGCCTAGCTGCACCAGATCTTAAATTGTATTATAAAGCAGCAATTGTCAAAACTACTTGGTAATGACTAAGAAATAGAGTAGTGGATCAGCAGAATAGGTTAGGTATGTAAAACACAACAGTCAATGACTATACTAATCTACTATCTGATAAATCCAAGACTCCAGCTTCTGGGATAAGAAATCACTATTTAACAACAACTGCTAGGAAAACTAGAAAAAACATATGGCAGAAACTGAGCATAGACCAACATCTTACTCCCTATACCAACATAGAGTCAAAATGGGTACAGGATTTAGATGTAAAGACTGATATTATAAGCAAACTAGAAGAGCAAGAAATAGTTTGCCTTTCAGATCTATGGAGAAGGGAAGAATTTATGACCAAACAAGAGATAGAGAACATTAAGAAATGGAAAAAGGATAATTTTGATTATATTAAATTGAAAAGCTTTTGAACCAAGTCAAGATTAGGAGGGAAGCAGAAAACTGGGAAAGAATATTTATAGCCAGTGTCTCCAATCAAGGCCTCATGGAGTTGAATCTATAAGAATATAAGTCATTCCCCAGTTGATAAGTGGTCAAAGGATATGAACAGGCAGTTTTCAGAGGAAGAAAACTAAAGCTCTCTATAGTCATATGAAAAAATGACTAAGTCACTATTGATTAGAGAAATGCAAATCAAAACAACTCTGAGGTACCACATCACACCTATCTGTTATTTGGCTAACATGACAAAACAGGACAATGATAAATGTTGGAGAAGATGTGGGAAAATTGGAACACTAATGCATTGTTGGTGGAGTTGTGAACTGATCCAACCATTCTGGAGAGCAATTTGGAACTATGCCCAAAGGGCTATAAAATTTTTCATACCTTTTAACCCAGCAATACCACTTCTAGGTGTGTATCCAAAAGAGATCATAAAAACAGGAAAAGGACCCACATTTGCTAAAATATTTATAGCAGCTCTTTTTGTAGTAGCAAAGAATTGGAAATTGAGAGGATGCCCATCAATTGAGGAATGGCTGAACAAGCTGAGGTATATGAATGTAATGGAATACTACTGTGCTATAAGAAATAATGAGCACGCAGACTTAAAACCAAAAAACCCTGGACTTACATGAACTGATGCAGAGTGAAATGAGCAGAACCAGGAGAACATTATACACAGTAACAGCCACGTTGTGTGATGACCAACTTTGACAGACTTGGCTCTTCACAGCAATGCAAGAATCTATGACAACTCCAAAAGATTCATGATGGAAATTGCTATCCACACACAGAGAAAGAACTTTGGAGTCTGAATGCAGACAGAAGCACACTATTTGCTCTCCTTTTCCTTTGTTGTTTTGCTTTATTGCTTCATTGTTGTGGTTCCTCCCATTAGTTCTAATTGTTCATTAGATCATGACTAATGGGAAAATATCCTTAATATGAATGTATAAGGAGAGCCTATATTAGATTGCACACCATCTTAGGGGACGAGGGGAGAGTAAAGGGAGGGGAAGAAAATTTAAAACTCAAAATCTTATGGAAGTGAATGTTGAAAACTAAAAATAAATAGATTTTCAAGGAAAAAAACAGTTCAAAAACAGTGAGTTTATAAAGTATAAAAAGGACTCCCTACAAACTTAATCAACTAGTGAGCTCCTCTAATACTTTTGTACTTATAAAAGTTTGATTTATGCATCAACTTTTCATTAACAATTCTACTATAACAAAGAAGTATGCTTGCGATTCATGATATTAAAAGGGGACAAAGCAGTTAACCTGAAGATTTTCACCAAAAATTGTTCAAAAGCCATGGAAAGGATCCAAAAGGGGATGTGAAAGTGACTATTACATAGTTACTGAAGTCATTTATCTAGTTAAATTCAAGTACCACTGAAGATTAATGGTTATACAATGGATCTTTCCAGATTTCGACTGTCCTAATAAATAAATAAAAAAATAAAATTCAAGGTGTACGGAGCATTTCATTTAAAATCTTTTTCTCTGAAATATACTGTAAATATTTCTGTTGAAAGCCAGTGGGGGAAAATGAAGATTATTGTCAGAGATTTAGTGAATCACTGGCTACTCACCATTAATAATGCAATAATGACAGGAAGAAAAGCATGAAAAAAGAACAACCATCAGGATTAACATCTACAAAGCATTCATTATAAGAGTTACTATAGGGTATGCATATACAAAGCTGCATAAGAAAAAATTCCTGCCTATAAGAATGCTGATAATGAAGATCAATGGGACATAAACATTAAAAAAGTAATACTAATGAATATATGATAAATATTCAAAGAATATGATAGACAATAATTACTAAAGATGTTCAGAAAAGATATCCTTTGGAATGGGGCAGTCAAGGAAGGGTGCATCATTCACATAACCCAAGATTCATATAATCTATTATGGGCTATTTCTTATTTAGTTGTGTGTTCGTATGTGTGTTTTTACTTAAGCCCTTTCATACCATTCACTAATTTCTCCATTATTTTACATTCAACATTCTATGTTACATTTGACTATTCTGTTATTTTACAATTTACCTAATGGTCATTTGAACTCTGAAAAGCCAACAAAAAAAAAATGAAACCATCTTGGAAAGTTCAGCAAGCATAGTGTATGTGTGTGTATTTTCTTTCTTTTTTTCATTCATGCCTTCATTTGGTGAGGCAATTGGGGTTAAGTGACTTGCCCTCAGTCACACAGCTAGTAAGTTTTTTATGTGTCTGAGGCCAGATCTGAACTCAGCTCCTCTTAACTCTAGAGTTGGTGGCTCTATCCACTGTGCCACCTAACTGCCCTGATATTTTCTTTAGAATATATATTTTTTGCGGCGATCTACAACCTCTGAGATAAAATCTACAAGGCAGGCAGGCTTTCATACCTGCTTACATTAGTAGGAGTAAATTAGAGAGGTTATTCATTGAAAGAGCATCTTAAGACCTTTCTTCTATTGTCTCTCACATGATCTTATGCAATATATGATATAGTCATGACCATTTTAAAGTAAACTGTTATTTACTGTCAGGTCTTGGCACTATCCAAAGGCATCCCTCTTTCAGATCCACATTGTTAGACCATGGCTTCTCAAGATTAGGCTAGAAAGGGTTTCTTAATTTGTTTTGTATAATGGACCCCTTTGCCTGTTTGGTCCAATCTACATCCCCTTTTCAGAATGATGTTTATTTGCTTTTAAATTCATGAATAAAGGAAATGTCAAATTTCAGTTACGGGTTACTTAAAGATATATTTTTCCCCCATCCAAATTGCAGGAACCTCTGAAATCTACTCCCAGACTCCTTGGTTAAGAACCTTTTAACTAGAAGTGCAGTTGTAATCAAATTATATCCTAATTTCTCTGGTCTCAGCCGGATTCTTATAGACTCTCACACATACAAGTGAATATTGATATTGGAGAACATATTTCCCCCCTCCCGGGAAATGTATTTTAAAAATGTTCCTGTTTTTTTATATATGTGTATGTATATGTGTGTAGACACACACACACACACACACACACACACACACACACACACACACACTTTTTTTTTTAGGCAATTGGGGTTAAGTGACTTGCCCAGGGTCACACAGCTACTAAGTGTCAAGTGTTTGTTCCGAGGCAAGATTTGAACTCAGGTCCTCCTGACTTCAGGGCTAGTGATCTGTCCAGTGTGTCACCTAACTGCTCCCTGTAAAATATTTTCATTAAAAAACACATGGATTCATTTCTTCAGGCACTTCTGAACACAAAAGAAATAACTAGCAAAGGCACACCAAAACATAAAAAACAAAACATCAAAGACACTGAAATATTTTGAGTTGTGTAACAATGCATCTGATAATTTAGCAATAAAAATCCGAATTACAAGGAAAGCTGCTTATAACTAATTAATGACATCTAAGTTCTGAAGTTAAAATTACTTACTATGCTGCAGAATCATTAAGCTGGTACTCCCGGGACCTGTTGAAACAGGCTTGTACACCACTATCTTTCCACAATCTTTTGATAACCCCCGCAAGTTCTGCAGTCATAAAACCTTCTTCGGCAGCTCCAGCAAGCACAAAAAGTTGCCGGGCATCATCCTGAAAAATGACAAAATGTTAGAAAGGGGGAAGAAGAGAGAGAACTATTACAAAACAAAAATAAACATTTCATTCTGTTCTAAAAACAAACAAAAAACCCAAAATAAAACAAAGTGGCAAACATGCCCCTTCCCCAAATCACTATGTATTTATATTAAGAAAACTGTTAGAAATAAAGATTTATAGAATCAGAGAATATAATTGCTGAAAGAGGACACACCTGAAAAGTAGATTATAAATGATTTGTTTCAATGCACTCATTTTACAGATAGAGCAAGTGAGGTCCACAGAAAATGATTTGTCTAAGAGGTCTCCCAGGTGGTAACACAGGCAGAACTAGAACTCTAGTCTAGAGCTCTTTCTACAACATCTTGCTACTTTTCCTACAGAACACAGAGGTAGCAAGATATGCTCCCTGTATTTATAGGGCTATGGTTAAAGACAGTATACAGGGCAGCAAATGAGCCAATATACTTATAATTTCCAAACTCCAGGTTACAAAGAGCTTTCTCCCCATAAAACTGTGAGGTTGGGAATGTATTATAATCCTCACTAAAATAGATGAGTAGACTAGAGCACAGAGAAGTCTGAGACTGGTCCATACTAACACAGCTAACCCATGTATTCTGACTTCAAATATAGCACTCTTGCACCTTCATATTCAGTCTCAAATTGTTTGTGTTATGTGGGATGCATTGTAATGATGTAATGATAGATACCTTGGGGACCTAGTCCTTAACAAACTGCCAACATTTTGGGGAAAGACTAATGAAGATTTAAGCTGGAACTTGAAGGACTGCTAGCACTGAGATACTTTATGACCTATGTAATGAGGAGATAAGTATTCCGAGCAGAGAAAAGAGCATGCAAAACATGGAATGAACATTGTATATGTTTGAAGGGCAGTGCAGATATCAAAATGACCAGAGTGAGAGAAGTTGATTCTTTCATTTCAACTAGTTCATTGAACTAAATGAAGCAGAAGGTTCATTTTGAGGATTAGTGGGATATAATATTGAACAAGTAGGTGGGGCTGGATTACTGAACATCCTGAAAGATAAACAGATTTACATTTGGAGATTAATTTATTTACACTATTTAGAATTTAAAAAATAAATCCCCAGATACTTTGCACTATGAACTTATGAATACAAAATAAAGGGTAAAGTAAAAATAAGAATATAGTTATTTTAAAATATTAAGTAAAAAATCCATTTTTACCGAAGTATCTGGATATTTTCATTAACTTACACATGTATGGAATTTATCACAATTTTTTTGTTCAAACTTTTAAACTAATTTTTTTTTCAAATTTCCTTTTTCACTTCACTATACACAAAGGGGGTGTGTATGGTGTGTATGTGCAGAGGAGAGAAAATGTCTATCTTTATTCTAATTAGACTTCATTATTAAATATTTATGGGATTAATTTCCTTTTGGTCTTTAACATAAAGAATAATTTATTAAAATGTTACAATCTTGATCAAAATCATAGTGTCTGATTAAATATATCAAAAGCCCAGAGGAAGGTAACTAGGAAAGGTTAAAAACTTTGAGATCATGTCATGTGAGTATTGGATGCCTGGAGAAGACAAAACTTTAGGTGGATGAGATGACTGTCTTCAAGTATCTGAATAGTTATCACGTGAAAGTAGAATTAGAAGTGTTCTGCTTGTTTGACTTCAGCATGCATAACAGGAACAAAGTGAAGAACTTTCAAGGAGATGAACAAATTTAATTTTAATGTCAGGGAAAAACAAATAAATTTTCTAATACAAAGAGAGGTCCAAAGTAGAGTAGGCTTTCTAACAAAACGACTGGATATTTACCTACACTCATTAGACATCTTCAAGGAGAGGTTACGTGACCACTTTTTGGGTGTGTTTTGGCGGCAATTCCTTTCAGATAAAGGTTGGACTAGATAGCCTTTGAAGTCCTTTCTAATGCAGAAGTTGTGATTCTATATCTAAGTGCTTCATTTTTACTTCAAAATACATCATTATGCTCTAGGACAAGGTATAGCTATACACATAATGCATTTTTTGGGTGTACTACAGATTTTGTGACAGAAAATTAATTTTGGGTTGATTTTCCTATCTAACATCAAGCTGAATTTTTTTTTTTTAACTTTTAGGCAATTGGGGTTAAGTGACTTGCTCAGGTCCTCCTGACTTCAGGGCCAGTGCTCCATCCACTGTGCCATCTAGCTGCCCCATCAAGCTGAATTTTTGATGTAATATTAGAAGACAGGAAAAGAGTAATATGTGTATCTTATCACATGACGTAACTGATTATCATTTTGAGGTCATTAAAAAGGATAGTCATTTTTTCATCTTATCTCTTAACAGTAAAATGTTATGGCAATTACAAGAACATTTCCAGAATACTGGACATATTAGTATATTTTTAATATAACATTTTATTGAATTTTTTGAAATACTCTGTAGTTCATACATGTAAAGTTTAAAAATGCAAACAATGTTAAAAAGTATCTTCCAAACATTTTACCTCATTTTACCTACCTTGATACTTCAAATATCTGTGATTTTATAGCAAGTGTAGTATTAATTACACTCTCCGCATTTAGTAGGTAGTCTTCAAAAGCTGCTATGGCAAAACAATTCTTCATCACATGGCCAGCTAGGCAGTAAACCTTCCAGAGCTTAACTAGACTATTTCTGGGACAAGACCTATCTGATGTACTCCCAGCTGGCTCTCATCTGCCAGAGTTTGCTGCCTACTCTGACCACCTTTCAGAAGAGCCTCCAATATGCCACAATGAAGCAGACTGTAATACAGACTAAATAATATGGTAATTTTTTAAAGTCAGTAGTAGATTCTTGGCCATTTATCACCTCCAGTTAAAAATTATATTACTTAAAGATGAAAGAGATCTGATTACAGCACCCTATTCCTATTTTGAAGTATTAGGAATCTGACTAAAATTATATGGTCTACATAACTTTTTAATTGGGTTATTTCTTTTTTTTAAACTCCTTAATATTTTACATGTATTATGGTTAACAAAAGAATAACTGCTTTGGCTATCTTTAAAGAGCTTATTTCTTAGCTGAGCGAAGAGGTTAAAAGCCATAATCCTCATAGGTATTCACTTTAGCCTACATTCTGTAATTTTTTAAGCAAAATGGAAAAATGTCACAGTTTACAAAAAACATTTTATAAGTTATAGAGAAGAAGGAGTTTTGATGGAATTGGCTAGTGGAGCATATTAGCTGAAAGAAAAACAGAGCCTTTTTCTTGCCAATTCATAAAGCTCACCATTTTTCCAGACGTGAACAAAATGTGAAAAATAATCAAGTCTTCCAGATGGGATCACAATACAGAAGCATATGTTTCCTTTTTTTAGGAAATCTCAAGAAGAATGCATGCAATCAGCTACCACATGTGATATATCCTTAATAAACCCAAAGAAAACATGTCCTTAAAGGCCCACATTCCTATGATCATTTATAAAATTAAAGTAAAAAGAAATTATTTGCTGTTGTCCAAAATAATCCCTTAATATAATCTGAACTGCAACCAATTAATATAAACCATTCCAATTTATTTAAAAGATTCAGATTTAAGGCATAAGCTGAGATTTTTGTAGAAAAGAACTTCCCTTTAATTATAACAGCTAAAAATTATTTGCTTAATAGCTGGGGGACCAAAACCTGTGGACTACAAACACATCTAACTCTAAAGTAAGATCTCAGAAACAGAAGACGAACTCTAAAAACAGAATTTTCACTACACTTACTGATGACATTTATCCTTTCTTTGACTTTCCAAAAGCAACCAACCCCCCTAAATAATATAAAATCATCCAATTGTCAATAAACTACTAACACATATTATCATCTTAAAAAGACTAGTAGTAAATCAAAATGAATATGCACTTTCAGACATGACATTGAAGTCAGTGATACACACACACACAATCACTGGCATTGAAAATAAGCAATGGGGAATAGGAGGAGAGTTTACAAACAAGCCAACAGGACCTTATGTTCAGGAACTTTAAAACATAATGGGGATTCACAAAATGTACCAAAACGTAAAGCACATTTATAAAACATACAGAGGATATGATCAATTAAGATTGGTAAAATCTTAGTGTGGTTTAGTAGACAGGAGAGCTACCTTCTAAGTTAGGAAGACCAGGATTTAAATCCTGCCTCTGACATAGAATGGCTACATGACTGTGGGCAATCTTATTTATCCTCTTGTTGCCCAAGGCAATGCTTTAAGGCAGAGGTGTCAGCAACACTGTGGCATATGGCTAGAACTAAATTAAAATGTAATCAGGAAATATTTATCAAAATATATTAAAATGCTATACAATACAGATAGTGTTAATGTGGTTTTTTAAATCAATAGGCACAGACAGGGATTTTTATGTACCATTTAATGGCTGGCCCTGTTTCTAATTGAGTTTGACACTACTGCTCTAAGAAAATTTTAGAGCAGTTGACCACCTACAGTGGTAGAACCTCATCTGAGAGTTTCTGTACACCAAGGGAATCACAGTTCCAATCCAAAAGATTGAGGTGACGAGGTGGTACAGTAGATAGAGTGCTGGCTTGGAGTCAGGAAAACCCAAGTTCAAATCCAGCCTCAAATACTTACTTAAAGTCACTTAATTTATGCTTGCTTCAGTGCCCATCATATTTAATTACTGCTTTATTTTTAATCAATTTAATCAAACTGTTGTGAGGAACAAATGAGATAATTGTAAAACACTAAGCATGGTGCTTGGCACATAGTTAAGTACTGTATAAATGTTAGTTGTTATTATTATTAAAATACACTCAATTAAAGATTCATTTTTATAGGTTACAAAGGTAAAAGAATTTCAATTTGATGCGACAGGTAATAGATTAAAGTCTTCTTTCAGGGATTAATGTAAAGGAAAAGGTGCTACAGGAAGAATGTTTCAAAATCTAGCAGGAAGAACTGAGAAAGGAAAGGAGAATCTGCCTGTGGAAAACACTAGAAAAAAAGCAGAGGCGCTGGAGTCCACATGTGAGATCATAAAACCATAAACTAGGGTGGTGTCCATGTAAATAAAAACCAGGAACTCTTGTGCTGAAAAAACTGGTAGACCCTGGTGATGGCAAATATAAAAACACAAGCTGCCTCTGACTATATACTACACAAGAGCATGTAAGATCATACAAAGGTTCCTTGAAGGGTAAAAAACAGAAATCTGTTTAATGATGCCAGTGGTTAATGTCACATGACACATAAAACAGGGAGAGAAGCAGCATGGATTTGGATCTGAAATCACAAAGCCTAGTTCTAACCCTGCTTCCCCAGACAGGAATTTGAAATTCTTTTGGGTTAAGTCACTTAACATCTATCTCTGTGACTCAGTTTTTTCATCATTAACATGAGGGGGATGGACCAGATGGACTTTAAGGTTCCTTCTGATTTTAAACCAATGAATTTCATGATCTTTCAGGACCTACCTTATCTACCTTCATTTTATTACTATGCTCATCATATTCTGTATGCTTCACAAGCACAAATCCTGAACTTTCCTACCTCTATTTAAATGCTTAAGGCTATTTGAAAGCGGTGAAGGTAGAAACACAATTAAAGCATAGATCTAACACTAGAAGGAATCTTAGAGGCCTATACAGGTAGTGTCACAGGTGAGATCATTATCAATGAAAAAGTTATCAAGTCTGCCATAGAATTACAGCAGACAATGATTATCCTGTCATTTTTAGGTTACTAATGTTAAGGTTTATAAGAAGTACTCCATTATAAATATCCCCTTGTCTATCTTTTACACTTTTTTGTACTATTAGAGGTCCTCCTTTGAAGATGATTGGTACTTAAAGTGAACCCTGTCAAAATGGAGAATGATTTATCATAGTGTATAATCAAAAGGATTAATTAGGAATTCAGCTTCAGCAAACCACATATATATATATGTATATATGTATATGTATATATATAGATATATGTATATATCTATATATATACACACACATATATATACACATATATACACACACACAAATATAATGCACACACACACATTTTTAGCAAAATTTAGTATATAAATGCACGTGTGCACTAAATTTTAGACTCCAGTCTTGATTTTGGAGGATGATTTTTCTGACAAAACATAACATCCATCACTACATGTTTTAATCTCACAGGGAACTCATAAAGGTTTTGCTCTTGGCAAAATGATTTATGCCCTGCATCAATTTTCCCAAGGGCCTTTCTTAATTCAAATTCTTTATTTTTTGCAGTTCCTATCTACACTCAGGGTGAAAATGGGTGGGAATAAGTGTTAGTGCTAATCAGGGAGAAGTATTTGAGTTCACTAGAAAATATTTTAGGGTTGTAATGACTTTTTCTTCCTTCAACATGTTCCTAAAACACCACCATGACATAGTGGATGGAGAGCCAAACTCTGGGTCAGGAGGATCAATGCTCAAGACATGCTAGTTTGTCAATAAGCATTTAAGCACCTAGTATACATTCTGGCTGTGGAATACTGGGGGCTAAAGATCTGTAGCCCATGTGACTCTAAGACTATAAAATGAAGGAAAACTGTTGATTTACATTGGTAAAATGGGTTTCCTCACCGGGAATTTTCTACCCTGTTGAAATCACAGGTCAAGAACAAAACAAAAATATACCTTTTTAACCTGTGGAGACTGAGATAATGAACACTCTGCTAACAAGGACCCCCTAAACCTTCTCCTGCTTAGAATCAACATCAGCCTGTTTGATTAAGATTTACTACAGAATATTACAGCTATGCAATTTACTCTTTCAATTTAAAATGATCAATGCATCAAGCCTACTAGGTGCTGGAGGCACAAATACAATAAATCAAGCAACCGTTAGTCACAAGTAGCTCACAGTTAATGGGGAAAATAATGGCAAGTATATAAATAAGTAAATGCAGAATAAATGAGAGTAAATATATACAAAAGTTTAAGAGGGAGGGCACTGGCAGTTGGGGAGAATCAGCAAAGGTTTCCTATATATAAGACTACAAAGTTATGTTCTTGAAGAAAAAGAAAAAACATCTGAGGCAAATTATTCCAAAATCTAAAAGGACTCAGTTAAATGTGACTGCCCCAATGATACTTACCGCCCTAGCAGAGTCTCCAAAGTCTATCTTTAATCTCCCCATTGCCCTAATAATAGCAATAATTGACTGAATGGTGTTGCTGTAAACAACTGCTTTATATTGTTTACATTCTTCTTCTGAATAACCAGCTTCATGGATAATTCTAAGGCAGAAGGAAAAAAAAATAAAGAATTTATTTCTCTTAGCAGAAAAACATGTTTTAACTAGAAATTTCACAATGGTTTTTAATTCCACTTACTTCATTTGTTTTACAATTGTGCTTTTTCCTGATTCACCAGCTCCTAAAAAAATTAAAGAGACACACAATTACAAAGACCCTTAAACAACATCTTTTATTATAAAACTTAAGTTTTTTTTTCTTTGATTTCAGAAAGTGCTTTTATCTTTGAGAAAGCTCTCATGAAATAGGTCATTCTAAATTAGTTCAAGAAAGTAAAGAAGGAAGTCTTTCTTATTTAATATGCAATTCAAAGTTATCATTATCAGAATCTTCCCCCAAAATGTTGCTACCATGTATTTTTAGTACATTATCTGTAACTAAGAGGCAGCATAGTAGATAGAAAGCAGACCTCAGAATCAGGAACAAATCCTGGCTATGTGACCCAAGGCAAGTCACTTGAATTCTGAGTACTTTAGGTAACAGTAACTCTCTTAAGACTATACATTGCAAAAAGGGTGCTGACCTGTATTGGTAGAATGAGTTTCCACATCTGGGAGTTCCTTACACCAGTGAAATCATATCAGTATTTTATTTGCATTTATATTTCCCAAGATATCTTAATCTTATGTAATCTACAGAGGTACTTAGGTAGGGGAAGGGAACAGAGAACTGCAAAAAAGGTAATACTAAAACAGAGAAAGACTTTATTGCAACTTAAAACTTCCCAACCAGTTAGGACTATCTAAAAATGTTTGGTTAAAGAAATGGGAGGAAATATTTCTCTGCTATTCTAGGATTTTAAACTTGTTCCCTGCATAATATTATTTTGGTATTATATATCCCAACACTAACAGTAGTTTAAAAATAAAAACATATTTTAAAATGATTCTTATTTTACAATTTCAAAATCTAAATTTCTCTCTGCTAGCTAAGGTGTTCTTAGATGCTGGTAATAGTCCCCTTCCTTTCATTATTATTCTTAACTGACACTGACATTACTTTAAAAAAATAAATAAATTATATGACTATGGATACAATAGAATACAGGAGAGTACTGCACACATAGACCTGTAAACAGATTTGAGTAGAAGGGGAGGGGAAAAGAAGGCCATTTATTAAGTATTACTGTCATGTTAGGCATCCTTTTTAGTGGTTTTCTTGAAATTTATAACTTGGAATGGAAGGAGGCTGCCTTTTTGTAGAGGGAACAAAAGTTTGGTGAAAATACAAAAGGGGAAGAAACTGTGCTGATGCTGGACTGATTCCTACAGCAGTATCTGGCATGTTCATAAGGAGAAAAAAGAAAGAAAAAAAAAACAGAACTAAGGCTAGAAAACTGGACCTGAACACCAAACTGCTTCTCAGCAAGTGCTGCACAAAACCAGTTCTCTGATCATCATCACTAACCCTCTTGATTGTACAAGGCTTAATTATCCAGCTTGTGGCTCACACAGGCTTCCACATGCAGGCTTCCTATTTTTGCCATTCTGTTAAGAGGGTAAAGAGAAAGCTAAACTCAGGAAAAAGGCAATGGTGTCAACATTTGACAAAATAATCGGGGGAGAAAAGCTGCAGCTATGTGCTAAAACTGGGTTTGGGGTTAACTGGCAATTTAATTATCCATGTTATCCCAGACCTATACTGTTGCAAATAGTTTACAGCTGATGTGAGTGCCTGGAAAAAATGTCATTTAATAATTTAAGAAATTAAACTCAATGTCTACTCCCCATGAAAAAAAAAAACCAAGAACTGGATGCACAACAATGGCATTTAAAGTCTGAGCTTTCTAGGGTATGTGCCAATGTACACAGTTCCAAGATAAACACCCCATTACTTATTAATCAGCAATAGTGCATTTGGCACTGTGAAAATCACAATCTCAGTCTTTACAGCTTAGTGAAGATAACTGTTTCTCAGTATTTTAGGAGTAAACAACACGAGTAGCCATCACGATCAGCTTTTATCAAGGAACATACATGATAATGCTTCTTCCTGGCTTTCCCCAACATTTCTGGGATTTTCTGGCCAGTATTCTGTCACATCAACATAGACAGCAGAATCAAATATTAGTGAGCCACTGTTAAATTAACCTCAGAAATCTGTGATCAGTTCAAAGGCTCCCATATCCACTATTTGGAAGATTAAAAAAAGCCTCTCAACAAAAGCCACGTACACTTCTGTGCAGCTAAAGGATTACGTTAGGTATCTATATCCAAAAAGATGCTGTGAGGCCTTTCACAGAAAGAATCACTCCCTAGTGATAGAAATTTTCTTTAAAATTTAATTTCCTCCTTACCTATGAAGGCGATAAGTGACATTGACTACTTTACTTGACCTGTCAAACAGGTAGAGTGTCTATGTACGCTTTATGGTCCAACATCACAACAATCTGTTTTTCAGTAAGAACTGGGACATCTCTTTTATTTAATTTGCCTTTCCTCTAATTTGGTTAAGTGTCATGTTACCTGATGAAGTATATATATGTATGTATGTATGTATATATATATATATATATATATATATATATATATATATATATATGTATGTATGTATATATATATATGTATGTATATATATATATATATGTATGTATATATATATATATGTATGTATGTATATATATGTATATATATATTTTTTTTATGGAACCAGAAGCATTAATACTTGGAGCACCTTTCAAAAGGTCTTTCTTTTAATCAATATTACTGACTGTCTTGTTTTGATCTCATAACAGCAATCTTCTAAATGCTATCAGCAAAAGTTCTAAAACAGCTGGTATATTAGATACAAACCAGAAAATAACAGGTTAAACCCAAATTATTAAAGTTCCAACTTTTGGCAATGTAGGGAAAATGCAGGCAATGTAGGGAAAAGATAGGAAAAATACTCTAGGTCATAAAGTGAATGATTTTCTAAGAGATTTTTTTGCCTAACTTCTCTTCAAGGACACATTCACATGACTGACCTTCTTGCTTCCTCAGTCTATGGGCAGCTTACTGTTGGAGAATGAACCATTAGTCAAATATCAATAAAATCTACTTGTAGAAACACTCTTTCCTCTCTCATTTACCTATTTCAGAAGAAATTATCACACAAAGGAGATTAAAATATAATGAAATTAAGCTACTATTCCACTCAGAGCTACATTATGTAACCAATCCATCAATTTTGCTAATTCATAAGCACTGTTACATGTAAATTTGATTTTTGCATATATATGCATATACACACATAACATTTTAAGTAGCTTTTCAATAATGAATCCATACTATGAATATTTGACTCTGGAACCCTTAAAAATGCCCAGCTTCCCTTTTCCATTACTTTTGTAAAGGACGGAATGGATGGATATCTAAGGGATAGATATCATAACATTACAATGATAAAATGCAAATGCTTGTGTGTAGATTACCCTCTTTCCAACTAACTCACACCTTTCTTAACCTGGAAAAGTGAAGAAAGGAAAGAAATGATTCAGAGCATACTCAGGTAAACCTTTTGGTTTAGAAGGCTTTTTTTTTATAGCTTTGACAGAGGAAAAGGAGGACAACTCAATTCAACATTAATAAAATGAAACTAAGTTGCAGACCTCGAATTTCATTCTTTTCCAGTGTGTATTCAGTTTTTAGAATACTGCAAAGAAATAATACAGACAGACACACTGTTTCTGTTCTGTTTTAAGGTCATTTTATTAAGTTTAGCTACCTATGAATAAATAAGATCACTTCCGTTCACTGTCCCTCCCAAAAGAGTCCATGTCATCTTCATTTTTTTTTTTATTTTCAGTGTGACATACTGGATAGAGTTAGCCGAACAAACAGGAAAAGCTGAGTTTAAATTCTACCTCTCACACTGGCTTCATGACCCTGGCAAATCACCTAAGTTCTCACTGTTTTAGAGAACTCTAAGAATCTAAGTTGCTGAGAATAAATGGGAATAACTTTTTTATTTTTAAATCAGGTCCTTTAAGGTAATATGATGGAAGATCTTAAAAAAAGTTTTCTATATTTTCCCAAATATACAGAGGAAAATAACACTGCCATGCTGCAAAGGCTTCATTGTAAAAGGCTTCTGACTAATGGTTGTTGTTTATCACTGAATGTGTATTGTCTTAGTCAAACTGAGACCTGTTAAAGACTTTAGTTTAAAAGGGCCAAGGTCTTCCACTACATCCAGGGCCATCACCAGTCTGGACCCAGATGGCTTCAGATGAGAAAGTGAGGCAGATGACTCTGCACAGACCTCCTTAACTCAAATTCAATTCACTTGCATGTCATGGCATCACCTCCCTTATGTCACAGTCCTCTTAGAGAATTAAGGACAAACAACAACAACAACAACAACCTTGACTAATGATGCAATAATGTGAAGCTGAGGTGCTGCTAAAGCTTAAGGACTTTTTTTAAAGTTTGCTTACAATAAGATTAGTCCTTAATTATTTCACGTCTTTTAGTCAAGACAAGACAGCTAAGTTAACTCCCCCCCCCACACACACATTATGGCTACAACTAAAAGATGCCCAAATAAAAGTTCAAATGCTCATGGAATAGGTTTTGGGGGGAGAATGGGAGGAGTTCATATCCCCCTTTCAAGCAGATCTGGTACAAATCTATAAGAAAATAGCCTTAGAGAGTTGCCAGGGGGCACAAAGCTGTTAAAGGATTTGCCCATGATCACAGACCTTTGAGCTGTCAGAGGTAGGACTTGAATCCAAGTTTTCTAGGATTTCAAGGCCAATCTTTTCCATCCATTGTGATGGCTTAAAACGAATATTACTTAGACACTCACATACTGTTGATAGAACAGTGAATTAGTCTCACCATTCTTGAAAGTAATTTTCAATTATGAACCCAAAGTCACAAAATTTTACATGTTTTTTTTTGTCCTAGCAATACTGCCATGAATACACTTATACACCAAAGAGTAAAACAAACAAACAAAAAAACAGGAATCCAAGAGGGTGCCCACCAAATCAGGAATGGCTAAACAAACTATAATATATGAATGTAATATAATATTACTGCAACATAATAAATAATGAAATTGATAGTTTTAGAGAAACCCAGAAAAACTTGCATGGACTAATGCAGAGTGATATGAGCAGGACCAGAACAATTTATA